AGAATTCTCCAGTGAAACCGTCTGGGCCAGGACTTTTTTTAGTTGGTAATTTTTTGATGACCTGTTCAATTTCTTCTTTTGTGATGGGCCTGTTCAATAAAATGACAGTATTTTTTAAGAACATGCTTACAAAAGGAGAATTATGTACAAAACTTATACCCATCCAATATAAGTAACTAACTATAAAGCACTTTACTTTCTTTTTAATGTTTACTGAGTACACACAGTTCCTGCGTTATGAAGGAGTTCCATTTCTAAGTCTGTCTTTAAATTGAATTTGTATATAAGTCTGAATAGTTAGGTATGGTTCATATGTAATGTCAGTTACTCGAATGTTTGTCTTAGTATATAATATGTAGTGTACATTAAAGAAAAATTCCAGATGCACTAAAACATCTTTAACATAATAATACAACAATAATAATTTTTTTTACACATCAAAAAGTGGTGCTTGTTTGTTATTCCAAACCACTGGATGCACCTTGAATTTTTAATGTGATAGGCTTATGGGGTTGGTTTATAACTGTGAGTTGTACACAGGTCAGACATTGTAACTGGGGAAGTATCTGTATAAAGGCATTTTACAAATGTTACTGCTGATGCATATAGGTGTTTTAGAAGAATTTCAGAAGAACAAAGTATTTATATCATAAAATTACCTAGAATTGTGTGAGTTCTTTTTTTAAAAAAAATAATCGAGTAATATAAAGTTTTGCAGTTCTTCTTTCTATATACTGGTAGTCAGTTCTGTTTTTTCTGTCTAACTTCTAGACTTTTCTTGCCTTGATAACCTTACAGATTTTGAAACTAATCTTACCTGGCAAGAATGATATAATTTTCTTTCACTTCTGCAGAGACTTTCAGAAGATTATGAAGTAGAAACACTTGGCTGTAGTTTAAATGAAGACATTTTCTTCATTTTAATGTATTTGTTTCTTCAATAGAATAACAACAAGCCAGAGATAAGCGTGAAAGAGTTCATAGACTGGATGCGTCTGGAACCACAGTCCATGGTTTGGCTGCCAGTTTTACATCGAGTGGCAGCAGCTGAGACTGCAAAACATCAGGCCAAATGCAACATCTGTAAAGAATGTCCAATTGTTGGGTTCCGGTAAGATAATCTACCGCTAATGGTGGTAGCAGGTGACTTTCTGTTCTGTTTCTGTAGCTGTTCCATTTATGGCCAGTTAGGGGTTTATCTTCAAAATAAATATGTTGCTCAGCATATTCCATCTGTTTAAAATTGATACTCCTTCTTTGAACCACTACATGGAGCTTCTTGTTTTATTATCATTATTATTTTCTACTCTGCTCTAGAATCAGCCATTTTTATGAATTTCTATTTACATATACCATACAAATGTTCATGTATAATAATTGCATGAGTGATTATAAATATATGGCCCTGATGGAGTTTGGTGGGTGTTCTGAGGACTTTGTGGTCAAAGTTAGCAGGAAACAACATTTAAATACTAACTGAGAAGTGATCAAATTGATTTTTGTTACTTATGCCAAATTTTTTATGAAGTAGATTAAACCTACTGTTTGCCTTTACATGAGGGGCATTGCTAAACACCACACTTTAATGTAATCAGACTCATCATTTTGTGACCCACAGCATCCTGTCTATAGGATCTATGGTTTGTCCCAAGTTGAACCTTCCTGCCTGTCATGGTCCTTCCATCCTACTCTCTTAAGTCAAGTATGCATTAGACCTCTTAGAGTATACTATGGGATTTTTCTGTGAAGAGTCTGGTAAATACCTCCACTTTAATCAGGAAATCTGCTATGAAATGAGTCTCTGGGTGGTACAAATGGTTGTTGTTGTTGTTATGTGCCTTTGAGTTGGACCTGACTCATAGTGACCCCTCCTTGGGTTTCCGAGGCAGTATCACTACGGAAGTAGATTACCCAACCTTCCTTCCGAGGAGTGGCTGGTGGGTTCATGCACTAAATTACCAACCAGAAGGTTGGAGGTTCAGGTCTACCAGAACAACCTGAGAAGAAAGACCTGGCAATCTACTTCTGAAATATCAGCCATTGGAAACCTTAAGGAGCACAGTTCTACTCTCACACACGTGGGATTGCCATGAGTTAGAATCAGCAGCAACTGATTATATTTTTTGGTTTCTTATTGACTGAAAGAACATAAGCCTACTGGGCAGAAGAGCTCAAGGTTTTAACGTGTCCGTTTTCATTCATGTCAGAAGAGGAGTCAGCTAAGATAATGATATAATGTCTAGAGTCCACTGGTCAACAGTCAAACCAGGATAGTAGGGATTATTGTTGTTGTATGTAGACCCAGTTTCTTGAATTAAACAAAATTGTTTAAAGTTGCCTTGACTTTATCAGCATAATTTGTATAGCAAGCACACCACTGTGTTCTCTGTTGATGGATGATTTAACAAATAGAACTCAAATTTCCTTTTCTTCTATAATTTATATTATGGCAAGGAGACAATCTAAAGTGTTCTAAATTGAGAAGGTCTTGTATGTTCTAAGAGGATGAAAAAGCAGGTAGTTATCAGGGTAAAGCAGGGTCCACCTAAATGTGACAGCCAAGGTAGTGGATGCTGTAGTGGAAGTCAAAGGGCACATGGTGCGGAAAGAAGACAAGAAAGACACGGTGTTAAATACATCCAGCTTCTTAGAATGGCTAGACAGAGAGAGAGAGAGAGAGAGAAGAGAGGAAGTAGTTAGAATGTAGGAGTCTTAAAATACTGATGTGAAGATAATGCAAGTGAGAGACATAATCATCAGAGCTAATAACAGCTGCCATTCACTGAGTCCTTAAGAGATGCCAGGCTCTGTGCTAAACATGTTAGTTGCGTTCATTAATTCATTTACTCTTAATATAAACCTTATAAGAGTGGTTTTATTACCTATACTTTAATCATGAAGGAACTAAGACTCAAATAAGGCAATTTGCTCCAGGCCAGATAATAAGTGAAGACAAAACTTCAGTCCAAAACCCTGTGTTCTTTGTGACTCTGGAGTCCCTGCTCTTAAAAAATGTGGTGTTTTGTTTGTTTGTTTCATTTTGTTTTTAAGAAAGCAGATTAGATTTTTTAGAAGAGGAGAGATTTGATACTAGAAACAATTGAATGTTACTAAACAGAGCAATTGATTTAAGCTATTGATTATTAGATTAAGTGTAGAGCACTGTATATAAAATATAATGTGAAACCACAGGAATTTCAGATTAACTTATATAAACCAGTCTTATGTGACTGTTGCTGTGGTGCAGAGATGCAGTGAGGGCCCAGAGGGCTGCACACATGCAAAGCAAAAAACATTTTAAAAACTCAGTATTTTTTTTCCACTTTAAAAGATTCATTTCTTAAAATATTTATTTAAAGCAGTGCTAGCAAAATAGTAAGATTGAACAAAGCTGGATTGTGAAGACATGGATGTTCATTATATTACTCTCTACTTTTGAGTAGTGCCTAAGGCACTTGACTGCTAACCAGATGGCTGGCGGTTCTAACCCACCAGCCTCTCCTTGGAAGGAAGGTTGGGCAATCAACTTCCATAGTGATAAGGCCTCGGAAACCCAAAAACGGGTTGCTGTGAGTTGGGTGCTACTTGATGGCACATACAGCAACAACAACAACTTTTGCATAAACTTGAAATATTTCACAAGAGAAATGTGAAAGAGCAGTTATAATGGGTGGACAATGGTAAATGTGCTTAATTGTGCTCACAAGGAGCATGTACATAGACCAAGAGGCTGTCATTCAAACAGAACAAGGGATATTGCATGGTTTAAAATCAAGAAATGTGTGTGTGTTAGGATTGTATGCTTTTACCATACTTGTTCAATCTGTATGCTGGGCAGATAATCCAAGTTCCTGGCCTATATGAGGAAGAATGTGGCATCAGCACTGGAGGAAGACTAATAAACAACCTGCCATATACAAATGACACAGCCTTGCCGGCTGGTAACAAAGAGGACTTGAAGCACTAACTGATGAAGTTCAAAAACCATAGCCTTCAGTATGAATTACACCTCAATATAAAGAAAACATATATATATAAAGGAACTCCAGTGGCATTGTGCCTGAGGCATTTGACTGCTTACCAGAAGGTTGGTGGTTCAAACCCACCAGTCACTCCTGGGAAGGAAGGTTGGGCAGTCTACTTCCATAGTGATAACACCTCGGAAACCCAAGGAAGGGTCTCTATGAGTCAGGTCCGACTCAACAGCACATAACAACAACAACTGGTGGCGTTATGCCTAAGACATTTGACTTCTTACCAGAAGGTTGGTGGTTCAAACCCACCAGTCACTCTTGGGAAGGAAGGTTGGGCAGTCTACTTCTGTAGTGATACTGCCTCTCAAACCCAAGGAAGGGTCTCTATGAGTCAGGTCCGACTCGACAGCGCATAACAACAATAACTGGTGGCGTTATTATGCCTAAGACATTTGACTGCTTCCCAGAAGGTTGGTGGTTCAGATCCACCAGCCACTCCACGGAAGGAAGACTGGGCAATCTATGTCCATAAAGATTTACCACCTCGGAAACCCAACAGGGGTTGCTGTGAGTCAGAATTGACTTGATGGCAATGAGTTTGGTTTTTGGTTTATAAAGAAAACAAAAATGCTCACAATTGAACCAGGAAACAACATCATGATTAACAGAGAAAAGATTGAAGTTATCAAGGATTTCATCTTTCTTGGATCCACAGTCAGTGTCTGTGGAAGCAGTAGTCAAAAAATCAAACAACATACTGTATTGGGCAAATCTCTTCCAAAAGACCTCTATGTAACATTAAAAGCAAGGTGTTAAAAAAGGTATTTGAGCACTCAGATGCACCTGACCCAAGCCATGGTATTTTCAGTCACCTGATGTCTGTGTGTGAAAGCTGGACTGTGAATAAGGAAGACTGAAAAAGAATTTGATGCCTGCAAAAGAATTGAATTGTGGTGTTGGCAAAGAAAATTGAATATACCTTGGACTGCCAGAAGAATGAACAAATTTGTCTTAGAAGAACAGCCAGAATCTCCTTGGAAACAAGGATAGTGAGACTGTGTCTCTGTGTATTGTGAATATGTTTTCAGAAGGGACCAGTCCCTGGAGAAGGACATCATGCTTGGTAAAGTAGAGGGTCAGAAAAAAAAAAAAAAAAAAAGACCCTCGAGGAAATGGATTGACACAGTGGCAGTAACATTAAACTCAAACACAGCAGTGATTGTGAGGATGGTTCAAGACTGTAATGTTTCATCCTGTTGTATGTAGGGTATCTATAAGTTGGGACCAACTCAGTGACACCTAACAACAATGTAAGTGCTAACACTCACGTGTAGATATCTCCAAGATAAAGATATGAGGTTGGATGGGTGGTCAGAGATCAAGCTTGCAGCAGGATATGTGGGAGGCAATGAAGTCTGGTAGCTGTGAAAACTAGCCCTGGAGTCAGGCTGCTTGGGTTTGAACCCTAGATCTACTGCTTGGCTGCGTATGTTTGGATAAGGTAGTTGGACTTCCTGAACCAGAGTTTCTTCATTGTGAAATCCTGTGAATGTCTCATAGGATTTACGTGAGAGATGAAAAGTGCTCAGGACAGTAGCTATCTCAGAAAGAGTTACTGCTGTGAGCTGTCACGGAGTTGGCCCCGACTTCACGGCAGCTCCGTGGACAGTGAAACAAAATGTGCTTGGCCTTGCACCGTGCCCAGGATCCCCTGTGGATTTGGCTGCTGTGATCTGTAGGGTTTTCCTTGGCTGATTTTTGGAAGTAGATCCCCAAGCCTTTCTGCCTAGTCCATCTTCATCTGGAAGCTCACAGAAACTTGTCCAGAATCATAGAAACACTCGCGCCTTCATTTACAGATGGGTGGGGCCTGCACAGCAGGTGCATCGGCTGGTAAGCAAACCCAGGCCTCACTCGAGAAAGGTGAGAATTCTGCCCCTGAACCACCCATGCCCCCTGCAATCAGAGTAGGCTTTCAATAAATGGAAGCTCTTCATGTGATTACTAGTAACATCATTATTGCAACTCTGGTGTGCAGTGGTTAAAGCATTTGGCTGCTGTCTATAAAGGTCAGGAGTTTAAACCCACCAACTGCTCTGCAGGTGAAAAGTCATTCAGTCTGCTTCCATAAACATTT